AAGAGGTATATGAGTCTTATATTTTAAAATTTTCAAGGCCGCCTAGGCAAGGTGACACTCCTTGGTTGAGAGCCAAAAATGCATGAGAATTTATTTAATTTTGGCTCGCAAGAATTTATATCTCCCTAGGAGCATAATCATAAGCTTGAATCAAAACTCGGGGTTCAATTCATAAGCTCGAGGTAGAGGCAAAAAAATTATTCACGTCGTGCCGCGATGTTAAATCAAGCGCTTGTTGGGAGACAACCCAACTTTACTGCTTTCATTGATTTTTAATTATTTTTTTGTTTTTTTGAAATTATTTTTATTGTGTTACTTTTTAGTATAGTTTTTGATTTTCTAGGAGCATGAGAAGAAAATCTATTGAAAGGAAGTAAAAGAAAGCAAGATGTCTAGAACTATTTGTGGGGTGCCCGCATAAAGGGCTAATGACCGGGAGAAGTCTGAGTTCCCCATGAGCTGCTAATGCTTCGGCCTTTGGCCTACCACGAAGTTTCTTTTACCCTCTTATTATTTATGGTATGCATCAGGGACAATGCGCAATTTTAAGTGTGAGGTGGGAGAAGAATTTCTGGTTGATTTCCTGTGCTATGTTATGTATGTTAAAAAATATAGCAAAAATATTAGGTAGAAATAATCCCTTTTGATTTTTCTTATGGCCATGATTCTTTTCCAAAGGGTTGACTCTTTGAACCGGGTAGTAATTATTTTTTGTAGTTAGAATTTTCATAAACGTTTTGGACTTTTCCCGGTGATGAACTTCTTTGATTATTTTTTAAGGATTAAAGTCTAAATAAAAATGCAAAATAGATTTTCTTTCTCTTTCTTTTGTAGAACTAATAATGGAATGGAAGAACTTGAGTATCTATCTTTTTTGACACGTTTTATTCCGGGATTTAGAGCTGTAACGTTTGAGCTGATTATCTTCTTCATGTTTTATGTGCCCACAAGCCTTGAGAGTATATATGACTTTGTTTTGACACTTAGACTCATCTTTTGACTCCTATGATTACTTTCCATGTGTTGAATTAATATGATGAGTGTACTTAGTTGTTTAACTTAAAGAGTAGGGCTCGAGCCGTCCGGTGTGAATCATGTGCACTGTGTGATATGGGGTCTTGGTTACATTCTGTGCTATCATGTATTAGTCTAGGACTTGCCCCGTGTGTTAGTCAAAGCGAAAAAAAGTAATCTTTGTGAGTCTACGAGATGATATAGGCATTTCTTTGATTGCCCATTGAGCTAGTATGCCACCATAAATGAAAATTATTCTTAGATAGCCCATTTGAGCTAATAAACCTTTTCTTTGGCACCCACATTACAAGTTGATTCCCTTTTTGTTCTTAATTAGATCTTTTCGAATCTTTACCTCTGAAAGTACTTAAGTGGCTAGAAGAGTAAGGTGAGAGTTGTGGTAGCTTTTTAGTGGAAACACAGAAAGTCTAAAAGGTGCACGTATATTTGAAAGATCATTAGCCGGGCAACCCAAGTTTGGAGAGTGTTGAAGAAAAGAAAAGTAAAAAAAAAGTGTTAAAAAAGTGTAAAAAAGTATAAAATACACCTTTTATTCCTCTTATCCGAGCTAGTGAATGCATAGTTGTGCTTAAAGAAGAAGGGCCAAATTGTATATGGTTTCGTGGCATTGCTTGAATTGGTCACGAAGAGTGTGTATTTGAAAGCTAAAGAGTAGTGTATTAAAGTGCTTATGATGGTGAGCCACTATTTTTCCAAATATAACATACCTGTCCCTTAACCAACATTACAGCCCGTAAAGACTTAATTGATCATAGACATCGCAAGCTTAGATTAGTAGAGACATACACTATGGGCAAGCCAATGGTACGACCTCGGGATGCACATGAATTTCTTTGTGAGGGTGAGTGAATTCTTTCAATTTGTAAGTCCTTAAATTATACTTGAATGCATATTTGAGTGTGTGGACTAAATTTCTCTTTGATTGTGGTAAGGGACACATGATTTGCAAAGGATTGGTAAAGTCCGGGCATTTTTAGTTGACACAAGAAGTGAATCATAGTAGGGAATATATTGGAGTCATATTTTGAGGTTAGGATGTTAGAATAAGTTGCACAAATATTTTAAATATTCTTGGCATGGGTCTACTTTTGAAGAAAAATATTAATAGTTCTTATGTTGGGTTCTAAGTGTTGGTATAAACCATTATTAGTAGGATGCTTGAGTATATTTTGAAATGTGTTTCTTTCCATTGTACTTAATTTTGAAAGTTGCTCGAGTACGAGAAAAAGTTTAAGTATGGGGTGTTGATAAACGGCTAAAAATGCATATTTTTCGGTGTATTTTCATCTCATAACTTGTGTGGTTACGGGTTGTTATATGAGTTTATGTAGTGAATTATGCTCATTATGTGCATTCTTATGTGTAGGAGCAAGTTGGACAAAAGATGAGCAAAAGAAGTTGATTTGGGACCAAAAGACAAGAGAAGTACTTCGCTCGTTCACTCTCACGTGCACACGAGAGAGTAAACGAGCTAGCTGAGGAGAGCTTGAAAAAAACAAATAACGGATTATGGAAAAAAGGCACGGAAGTGCACGAGAGACCTAGAAGGAAAAGATAAAGAGAAGAACTTCGCTCGTTCACTCTCGCGTGCGCACGAGAGAGTGAACGAGCTAACCTGAATAGTCTGTCCAAAGTTGGCTTGTATTATTTCGCCCCATGCTTACCCTATCCCATATAAATAGTCTTTAAACTCACTTTTGAAGGGGGGATTCGACCTAAGGAGGCAAGAACACACGATGAGCAAAGCGGAGAATTCTTCTATGAGTTTTTCACTTTCTTCTTGCTATTTCCATTATTGGTTATGAATTCTAGTATTGTAGTTTTGCATACTATTATGAATAGCTAATTTGTTATCTAGGGTTTTGATGGAACCTTTTGTTGGATGAATTCTTGATATGTTTTGATATAATTGAGTTTTTGAATTTTTCTATTTGTTCAACTACGTGCTTATTTTAATTAATTGAAGAGCTCTCAATTAGCGGTACCTATTTATTATGTATTGCTTGAAAAAGAATACATATTTAGGTGGTTATTGAACAACGTCACTCCTAACGTATATGAGAGATCAATATGGCGGGTTTAAAAGCAGAATTAGAGATAACGAAGCTTTGACGTGATCATAGTGAGCGGTGAAAAAGTGTGAGCTAATGTAATTTGAGAAAATATGACTAGTACATTAATTTAGTTACTCGTGAGAGAATTACGATAAGTCGAGTGCTCACGATCAATAGAGAATAATTAGGCGAAATTATATAATACGTAGCGGGAAAGATTCCGATAATTAGGAAAATCATAACTCTAGACCTCCTTAATCGATCTCCAAGCTCAGTATCTTTAGTTGTTAATTCACTCCTTTAATTTGTTGGTTAATTAGTTAAAACTTAAACATAAGAATCTTAATATTTATAACATAGAAATTGTGTGAACAGTTGTAGCTAAACGTTAATTCTCTGTGGGATTCGACTCCGAACTCTTAGACCGAATTATATTTGAAGCGATCGCTTATATTTTTAGTACTAGAGTTGGGCGTGATAAATACATATACAAAAGGTATTAGCAGTAAAAACTCAAGATTGCAGCAATATTGGCAGCGATGAGAACTCTACCCAGTTGGTGCTTTGCCGCGGAGCTAGCAAAACAATGTGAATGCAACTTTTTCTGTCACTATTGAAATACGAACTTGGAATTGGAAACAAATCAAGGTCTAGTTATAGTTTTTTTATTTTTTTTTATTTTTTATATCTTTGCTTCTATTTGAATCATATTCTCTTAATAGTTTTTGCCTACTTCATTAATTATTAGACCATACTTTTGGTGTAGAACCAATTTATAAACCCTTATATCTGGGTAGCTAGCTGCTAACGTTTTCTCTTTTACTTGATTTCCTTCTCCTTTTTTATTAATTAGTAGATGAAATGGAAACCATTAACCTTACTGAAGTTGTTGCTATAAAATTTTGAAAAAATGCACAAAAGGAGTGAATTGGATATTTGAAGAACTTTTGAAAGTTTAAGTTGACTGTCATCACTTGTAGTGAACAAATAACCAAATATCGCGAAAGAAGGAGCAGCCCGGTGCACTAAGCTTCCGTTATGTCTATTGTACGCAGGGCGCAACCAACTTTTTTTTTTTGAACCCCTTAGCGGAAATAATGGCTCCGCCACTATACGCAGCCTTACCCTGCATTTCTGCAAGAGGTTATTTACACGTCTTGAATCCATGACCACAAATATCGCGAAAGTGTTCTTTCTTTCTTTTTTTGAAAAGGCTTGTCTTTGATTTAGAAAGAACTTTTAGAACTCGGTCTGTTTTTCTCAAATTAGATGTGCAAGAAAACATTAAAATAGAAATAAAGGAAAGCAAGATGTAGTAATACCTATTGATAAAGTACAGTCATTAGCCTTATTAGTGTTTTATACTTGTAATGGCAATTGGATTTTATCTACTCTTTTCTGAAATTGGAGTGACAAGTTCGGTTCCGAGTACAGAAAATTATGAAATGAAGAGGTCCAATGAAAATGGAATTAATCTTATATCTTGAAGAATTTTATTACTAGTAGAAATCGAATCTTATATCTTTAGGAATTTTATTACTAGTAGAAATCGAATCTTATATCTTTAGGAATTTTATTACTAGTAGACTCTCTTCCTGCTTTTAAATGGGCAAAAAGAAAAACTATATCTATATCTGTGTGTACAATTTCTAACATATTTGACCTTGGAGTTGTCTTTTCCTTACATTCATGTGATGTTTTTTCTTCAATTACCATTGTGTGTCCTTTTCTTTCCTTTTCCTTTTTCAGTTTACTCCACAGCCACAAGGGGTACTCTTCAAATCTATCTGTATTTTTGACTTTAAAAAAGGCAAAGGAAGACTTGGAAAAGTCTTGAAATCCAAAAATATTATATAGCATGATTTGTTACTTATTTTCTTCCTGTGAACTTCCCATAGTCATTCCTTCATCACTAGTCTTAGCTAAAAATGGATACCAAAGAATACTACAAATCAATTCATTTGCTTCTGATTTGTATATCCATACTGATCCTGCATCAAAGCTTTGCTCTTGGATCAGTGTCAAGTGCGAATCATGCAAAAGTTTTGTGCATAAATAAGGAGAGGGAAGCTCTTCTTGAATTCAAACGAGGTCTCATAGACGAATATGATTTGCTTTCTTCATGGCGAAATGAAGAAGATAATGAGGAATGTTGTTCTTGGAGGGGTGTGAAATGCAGTAACACAACTGGCCATATACTCGTCCTCAATCTTCGTGGTAACACGTTCACGTATTTGACAGGTAATATTAGTTCTTCGTTGGTTAAGTTGCAATATTTGAAGTACCTGGACCTTAGTTCCAATAATTTTGAAGGCCAAATACCAAAATTTATCGGTTACTTCAAAAGACTTGAGTACCTAAATCTCTCATCTGAAACTAGTTCCAATCGTTTTGCTGGTCCAATTCCTCCTCAGCTCCGGAATCTTACCTACTTAAGGGCTCTTGATCTTGGTGGCAATTTTTTGATAGTCAAGAGTCTTGAGTGGCTTTCTCATCTAGTCTATTTGGAGTATTTAGATTTAAGTGAATCCAATGTGCAACAAAAAAACTGGTTACACGAGATAACCAAGCTCCCTAATCTGAGGGAATTGCAGTTATCTTCCTGTGAACTGCCCATAATCATTCCTTCATCACTAGTCTTAGCTAATATTTCCTCCGCCCGTCTTTCAAGCCTTGATTTCTCCTTTAATGTATATCAAACAACTATATATAGTTGGTTATTTAACTTCAGTAGTCTTACTAGCCTAGATCTTACGGGCAACGACTTAGGTCAGATTGCTACTGGCTTTGGGTACTTGGAATCTTTGGAACATCTTAATCTATATGGAAATCATATTCAGGGTGGCATACCAAAGTCTTTTGGGAACTTAAGTCATTTATGCTCTCTGGACGTAGGAAACAATAACTTAAGCCAACCATTTTCTGAGTTGCTTATTATCTTATCAGGGAGTATGAAATCACTGGAATATTTGTTTTTTGAGGACAATGCACTCACTGGTTCTTTGATTAATCTTACCAGATTTTCATCCTTGAGGGAATTGAAGCTACAAGACAATTTTCTGAATGGTATTTTCCATGAAAGCTTTAGACAAATCTCCAGTCTTGAATATCTTGATTTGTCTGGTAACCAAATGACAGGGCCATTACCAGACTTAGCATTATTTCCATCTCTGAGAGAGTTGTATCTGAGGTCTAATCATTTTCATGGGATGATACCGCATGGTTTAGGCCAACTTTCTAAGCTGAAAATCTTGGATGTCTCTTTCAATAGACTGCAAGGTTTACCGGAAAGTTTGGGACAACTTTACAATCTTGAAATTTTTCTTGCACCTTCTAATTTGTTGGAAGGCACAATCTCTGAATCCCATCTTTTCAATCTTTGCAACTTGAAAAAGTTAGACTTGTCTTCCAACTACTTGACTTGGAATGTTAGCCTTGATTGGATTCCATGTTTTCAACTACAAGTTATCAGCCTTTCATCTTGTAATCTTGGGCCGCATTTTCCAAAATGGCTTCAAGCTCAAAATAACTACACATATCTGGATATCTCTCTTGCTAGTATCTCAGACACAATGCCAAGTTGGTTCTCAGATTTTCCTTCCATGTTGACACACTTGAATCTCTCTTATAACCAAATCAGTGGAACGATATATGATTTATCAGCAAATAATGTTGATTTTAGTTATGGTCCCATTGTCATAGATTTCAGTTATAACAATTTCTCAGGGCCCTTACCAAGATTTCCTCGATTCGTTAGTGAATTGCGTGTTAACAACAATCAGTTTTCTGGATCACTTAACTCCATATGTAAAATTCTTTCAGCCACAACCCTTGACTTGTCAGAAAATCTCTTGTCCGGAGAGATTCCTGATTGTTGGATTACCATGCCCGAGCTTTTGGTCCTTAATGTAGCCAATAACAATATGTCTGGTAGCATCCCAGATTCTCTGTGCTCATCCGCATCCTTGAACTCTCTATACGTGCGAAACAACAATTTAACTGGACAGTTCCCTGCCTCTTTGAAAAATTGCCTAGCTCTGAAAGTCTTGGATTTGGGAAGAAATACATTGAGTGGAAATATCCCAGAATGGATAGGGACTAAGTTACCTTATTTGGGCATTCTGAGCCTTCGGTTCAACAAATTCTCGGGTAGCGTTCCTCCAAGTATATGTCAGCTTCAATCTCTTCAAATACTGGACCTCTCTGGCAACCATTTGTCTGGAAGAATTCCACAATGTTTCAGCAATTTCACTGCACTACAACTTTTGTATGATGGTTCAAGTGTAAGCTATGACTTCGATCCAACTATCGCTCGTGGACTTATAGCCTACCATGGGAATGCATTTGTTCAATGGAAAAACAAAGAGTCAGAGTACAAGAATACCTTGTGGCTACTAAAAACCATCGATCTTTCTAGCAACGAACTAGTTGGTGACATCCCCAAAGATTTCAGCAGAATGAATGCATTGCTATCATTGAACCTATCAAGAAACCATTTGACTGGAAAAATCATTGAAGGAATTGGAACAATGAAGATGTTGGAGGTACTTGACTTGTCAAGAAACCAGCTTTCAGGGAAAATCCCTATAGGCCTTGCTAATTTGACATTTCTTAGTGTGTTGAATTTGTCAAATAACAACTTCTCAGGGAGAATACCATCAAGCACGCAATTGCAAGGTTTTGATTCCTCAACTTACGGTGGGAATATTCAGCTATGTGGCCGTCCTCTTCCACAGTGTCCTACATTTGCTCCTCCTAATCCTCATGTTGGTTATGACAGCAATGTTAGAACTTCTAAAGAAAATGACGATGAGTTTCCATCTAAAGAGTTCTATATATCGATGGCGTTGGGTTTTATTGTTGCGTTTTGGGGAGTGTTAGGCTCTATTTTCTTGATCGATTCATGGAGGAATGCCTATTTCAAGGGGTTATATGGACTCAATAATTGGTTCCATCTTTCATCAGCACTCTGCTTTGCAAGGTTGAAGGCTAAACTAAGGGCCTGATGACTGAATTTGTATTCTACTCATTGTCAAGAGTTAAATTAAACTGTATTTTTCCTTGACAGTTGTTTTGCTTTTAAAATTATTGCTCTATGTTAGATTTCTGTGCAATGAAATTTGTGTTTGCTTTTGTTACGTATTTTTATCAGAAGTCGTTGTTCCTCCATTATGTTTGTTACTTATAATATTCTTCATTTATTACAAGTAGCTAATTGCTTCCATGAAGGAATGAAGTTAGAGGTAGCTTTTAGTCATTAATGGCTACTTACGACTCTCTCTCTCTCTCTCTCTTTTTGATCTTGTGCTCAAGCAAGAAATGATGAAAACCTTTTACTGCAAACCAATTCATTTGCTTTTGATTTGTTTATCAATACTGATCCTGTATCAAAGCTTTGCTTTTGGAACAACATCAAAAGGAATTGTCACGACCCAAAATCACACATGTGGTGATGACGCCTATCTCAGTACTAGGCAAACCGACAACATCAATAACCCACATTTTTCTTTTAGGATTTGAAAACATAATAATTTGAATTTAATGAAAGACCTCACAATTACAGATACAAATACACTCCCAAAATCTGGTATCACTGAGTACATGAGCATTTATACATTACAAGTCAGGAAAACACGGTCTATAATAGTCTGAGACCAAACACAATAAATAAGGAGATAGGGAAGGAGAGACAGGGTCTGCGAATCACGATAGCTACCTCGGAATCTCCGAAAAATCAACTGTGCGAAAGAATCAACACTCACGGTGTCCGGAATCACCTGGATCTGCACACGAAGTGCAGGGTGTAGTATGATTACAACCAACTCAGTAAATAACAATAATAAATAAAGAACTGAAAGTAGTGACGAGCTTCACAGCTAAGTCCAAATACAGTGATTTCCAACATAAAAAGGTAGGCATGTTTTCAAGTTCAACATTTAAAACTCCACAGTAATTTCATATCAAATTTGACTGAAACAGAAATAATGTCTTTCAAAGTTTTTTTCCAAAATAGTGATAATGACAACTGAAATGCAGCAATAATGGAATCAATGCATCCTCTCCGAGTAACAGTCACCCAGTCCTCACATTCACTCCAACCTCACAGTCACTCTTTCCTCACAGTCACTCATTCCTCTCATTCACTCAGTACTCGGCACTCGGCACTCGCACTCAGTAGATACCTGCGCTCACTTGGGGTGTGTATAAACTCCGGAGGGGCTCCTTCAGCCCTCATACTACGCTTCTGCACATCTTTTTGTGCAGATCCAGGTACATCTTACCAGCCTAGACGTCAGTGAGTTACCTGCGCACAGAGACTTCGAGGTATATCTGTCAGCGTCCGCAGACTCCGGAGTCCCCTTCTATCATTTTTATGTTGCTTTCCTTATTTATCTTTAGACCTTGATATATAGTGACATTGAGAATAAATTCTTAGAAGCTTGTGACTTATTTCTTCCGGGTTTTGGGAGTTGAAATTATTTGAATTGTAGTTTATTTATTTCATATATTTATTATTATTCCGAATTAATAGGCTTACCTAATCTTAGAAACTAGGTGCAATCACGACATCCTACGAAGAGAATTTGGGGTCGTGACACTAGGTTTCTATGTATTCCCTACTTCTGTGTTTAGTGTTTTGTGCTCTGTTTTCAAATTGTAGGTACATCATACGGTATACAACTGAGGGGGAGTCGCCTACAAATGAGAGGGAGCTGACTACAAATGAGGCACAACAGAATGTCAAACTGAGGGGGAGTCGACTAGACATTTCTACCAAGAAACGCAAATTAAAGGAGGGGTTGACCACAACACACTCAAGGCGGCTGATCAATAAGGAAGTATTTTTTTATGTTATTTTGTCATCATAAAAAAGGGAGAGATTGTTAGATCTCAGTAAATTTCAATGATGCAAATTAACCAGTTACTCCCTATGTGCAGGAAAAGATCTGAGCAATAATATGGAGGCACATATGAATCAAACGAAAAAGGAAAGAGAAGCGGACAAATCAATCAAGGAAAATGGAAAAATCAATTAAAAGAGATGTTAGAGGAAGGATCTAAATCAAAGGAGATTACTGGTATGAAATCATCCGCAAAATATTCTCCCACATAATAACGTCAATCGAAGGCATCAATTAAGAGATCTGGAAACGAAAATATTCTCTCAATTAAGGAAGAAATCACTCAAGCCCGCGAGTCAAGACAAGTCAGAATCAATCTATGAATCCGTCTGAATACAAACTCCTTGGATTCGCAATCTCTCAAAAAGATGTACAAGACTTGAAGGCATCGAGAAGTATAAATACCTATTGCAATGGCCTTGGAATGATACACTTTGATCATACCAACTTCATTCTCTTTGTTCTACTTCAAACAAAATATTGTAATCTGCTTTAGATTTCTTATGTAACAAAGAAGAGAAAAGAGAGAGAAAAGAACACTGGTGAGGCATTGTATCAATTATAGCGAGAAGAACAAGTGAAAAAAGTTATTGGTGTATAACAACATCAACTCATCTGTACTAAGCCACTTCATACTTGAAAGAGATCACCCTTTCAACCCAAGGGGACTGGACGTAGGATTCACTCTGAATCCGAACCAGTATAAAAACATACTGTGTCATTTACTTTCTGCAATTTATCTTTTTCATTTGATTCCTGAAAAGCCCAGTCGACTAGAACTTAAATTAGTCGACTACTTGAAAAAAAAGAAAAGAAAAATCACAATTCACTCTCCTCTTGCACTTTCAATTAGTATTAGAGCTAGTCTCACACTTTTTACTTAACAACTTATGAGAAAAGATCATTGTAAATCAAGTAATTGTTGGAGCACTCTTTCAAGAAGCAACATCCCAAGTTAGGCCACCGTATTTCAATGGACAACACTTTTCTCACTGGAAAGTGCGTATGGAAATATATGCAAAATCCTATGATATCAAAGTATGACGCATTATCAAAAAGGGAAATTATCTACTACCAATACCAACTCAACCACCTGCTGATCCAGAAGATATAGATGAGTACAGAGACGAGCAAATGGCAGGTGTTTGGGTTATTCTATAATGCTATAAGTGGAGAGGAATATGAGAAAATCTCAAGTTGTGATACAACTAAAGAAATGTGGGATAAACTGGAATTTACTTATGAAGGAACCAGCAAAGTGAAAGAAACTCACATTAACATGTTGGTTTATGACTATGAACTCTTCGAGATGAAAGAAGGAGAATCCATTGAGGAAATGTTTGCAAGATTCAACAAAATCATTAGCGATCTAAAATCTTTTGGTAAACCATACTCAAGTGGTGATCAAGTTCGAAATATTCTAAGGAGTCTACCTACCACTTGACAGACAAGAGTAGTTGCAATCGAATCATAAAATCTAAACAAACTTTCATATGATGAGCTTTGAGGAGATCTTATAGCATTCGAGAAAACTCACCTCAAGAAAACAAACCAAGAAGAAAAAAAGAAAACAGATGCCTTTAAAGCTATAACTGAAAGACCAGAAAATGATATTGATGACGATCCAAAAGCTCTTGAAGAAGAAATTGCTATGGTATCAAGAAACATGGATGGGTTAATGAGAAGGTATAGAAATACAAGAAGGGTAAGGATTAGAAATACAAGAAGGGGAAGGATATCATCTAGGCGAACCATGCAATACAATGAACAAGACAAGCATGATGGGAATTGTTATGAGTGTGGAAGGTATGGGCATATTCAAGCTGAATGCCCAGATCTTAAAAGAAAAGTCTCCAGAGGGCTCAACAAAAATAAATCCTTCGGAAGTTGGAGTGATAAAGATAGTTCAGAACACGAAGAAATAGAAAATCTATGTTTCATGACCATCCTGGAAAATGACATGAACAAATACTATGGCTGCTTGACTGATGAAGATACATCAGACGATGAATGCAAGGATAATATTGAAAACTGTTTCATGGCATGAGGTAAAACAAGCGAGGTGAGATCTTATAACTGTGATAGATGTAATGAATTACAGGATATTCTTGACCTTACCCTAAAAGAGTCTCAAAAAATGTTGAATGAACTAAGAAAACTCAATAGTGAAAAGAAAGACTAGGAACTTAAGCTTGAAGTCTGTGAAATCGAAAGAGATGTACTTCAAGATGAAGTTCAGGAATTGCAAATGCAACTTAATGGCATGCGCAAGTCCACCAGTCACAGTTCTGTCAAGTCTAACCAGGCGACTTACAAGTCAACTGGAAAAGGACTTGTTAGAACTGAGTCCATAGGTACTAACACAAGTGGTAGATCAAAAACTGGATCAACCCCCATGTGTCATTACTGTAACAAAATTGGACATAAATATTCTTTTTGTCTATTTTGTAAATCTAATGTTTCAATATGGATTTGGAAACCCCAAAACAATCCTGATCTTAGTAGAACTAACCAACAAGGACCCAAGCTTGGGTACCTAAAAGAAGGTGACAATTATATTTTGCAGGAACACCACAGAAAGAGCTGTAAAGAAAAATGGTATTTAGACAGTACGTGTTCCAGTCACATGACGGGTGACAAAAATATGTTCAAAGAAGTTACAAAAATAAATGGTGAAAATGTCAAATTTGGTAATGATTCAAAAGGAAAGATAGTTGGTACCGGTACAGTTCCATTCGAAAATAATTGTGATATTACAGAGGTATATCTTGTAGATGGACTCAACCACAATCTCTTGAGCAGAAGTCATCTCTGTGATTCGGGATATGAAGTAAAATTCAAGAAAACAGGATTTGCCATTGAGGATGAAACAGGTAAAACTATTCTGCAAGGAAAAAGGTATAAAAATGTTTATATTCTTGATGGCATTGAAAATCTAGACAGTCACATTTGTCTAGCATCCATTTCTTATGATCCAAGGCTTTGGCCTAAAAAACTTGGCCATGCAAGCATTCATCTTATTGAAAATCTGTCCAAACATGATTTAGTTATTGGTCTTCCCAAACTCAATTTTTCTAGAAATCATATGTGTGATGCATGTCAGATTGGTAAACAAACTAGAAACTCTTTCAAAACAAAGGATATTGTGTCCACTATCAAGCCATTGCAATTACTTCATATGGACTTGTTTGGACCCACTAG